TTTTTGTAATAAATTTGCTCGTTTACTTGCGTATAGAGTTGTAAGTATTTTATACCGTCGCGGTCACACTACACTTTACGTTCAGCCACACTTACATGCAAGGCTAGAAAAGAAAAGAAAATTTATGGTAAGATCGCAATATTTTATTATTCAAAATTTCTATGCAGGCATACATATATGCGATATTGAATTCTTCGTATTTACACTATATGCTAATGGTTGGCAAGTACGTTGCTTACAACGTAGCTTTATTGTTACATTGTTCAATAGAGACATATGATAGTGAGTAAACTATAGAACTAGTCAACACGAATTGATCACTACAAAATATTTTCTCTCTCATATGTCCAATAAGTAAAACGCTTATAGTATACAATGTAGCTATAGTACACGAAATATATCGTTACAATTATGTACGTATTGATGTGGATACTTTAGGCGTTAGCCAGTGTCAAAGTCGCCGCCACATTATACGTGATGACACATGTCGCTATTGTCCTCCTCAACAACCGCTTATATATCATCTACGAATGCTTTACACACACGCGCGCGTTAAGACTCGTGTAACTAGACAGAGGGCACTCACGGAGAGTGCATACCTCCGCGAGCTTGTAACATGTATACATGTGTATAACAGCTGGCTCGCTGCCTGCTGACTGGACGCCCTAAGGCGAGCTGGTGCTGAATCGATCGCGCCAACGCTACACACACACACGAGACCGATTACATGACTCCGTTGCGCGGAGGTAATAAACCATCTCGTGTTGTCTGGCTGGCTTGGGGGTTCGTCTGCCATCGATAGACACGCGGTGTGTTAACTGTCATCGCGATAGCCACCGAAGCCATCGAACGAAGGCGAGAAAGTCGATCATGTGGCAGCAGGCTGGACTTGACGTCGACATCATATACTCAACGTTCGGTGCCTCTAAATAAAACAAAAAACACTCAATGTTTAACGCCTTATAAATAAAACAATACATTTGACTTAATCGCATCTAAATAAGAGAAATGGGTTCCATCATTTCATACAATATTCATCTATTATTGTACAAAGGAAATGTGGGTTTTTAAAATTACGCTGATATGGAAATACGTGTAAATGCTTGCGGACACCCCTCAAGAGGCGGCCGCTGCAACATTTATAATGCTTATGAAGTGCTCTTTATTTACAACGCACAAGCAGCAGACAAAAATAAACTAGAAGCGGCAACAGGAAAGTACATGGTAACAGTGTGAGATATTTATGATAAGACGAGAGATTTAATAATATATGAGTATGATAACTGAGATGAGTTGATAACATACGGCGATGAGTTGAGCATGCTGGAGGCAGCGAAGCCGCTGCTGCGATGAGAGAGAGAAGCTGTCATCTAGCATCGTGGAGTGTCAGCAACACGGACGACATCTTCTGATTCATCTCATCGTCCTCATACACGCCAGCAGGCGCGACAATCTATGCGAAGCGGCGACGTAGCTCTGTCGCCGTGACCGTCAACGTAAGAGTCTGAGGAGCTCACGTCGGATGAGGAGAGCGACATATCAGAGGATGCTCTTCCAGGTCGGGAAGATGCTGCTGTCGTGAGCGTCAGTACGGCCGTCTGGATAGGCGACGGCTAGCTGGCTGCAGATAGACAGGCATCCGCGTACTGAAGGCTGCAGTCGATTCAGTAAGGGGTCCGTGTATCCGTGCGCCGCCATCATGACAGCACTGCGACGTTACGTGCTGCTGTTGCATTTCGTCTGTTCGTAGAGCGAGTGCGTGCGTCTGTATGTCTCGTGTGGTGTAGAACGAACATGATAGTGACTGCCGTCGGCGGAGGGAGTGCCGTTTATAAGCGTGGCGTCGACGACACGGATGACGGGTCGTCGGCAACGCTACCGTGTCACGTCGGCGTCGCCCACGGCACGGCTTTATACACGTTGTCGGCGAAGTCGGTACTTTACCATCAGACGAGCCGACGGCAGCCGCCACACACGTGCCGCGACCTCTGTCAGCTGGACATTGGACACGCGTGTGTCCACGCGTTATTGTGGACCGTTAACAAACCGGACCAGTCAGCATTGTTATAGCTGCTGGTGCGTTACTACACGGCGCGCGCACTGATGACAACAACAACAACAACATACATGTAACGATGGCCGCGTGTCAACGATGCAACTGTAGCGCAGTAGTCACGTGATGTTGATATATACGTTGCAGTCTTGATGTAACTTGCAGCTTAGTTTGTAGTAAAAGCGAAATGACAGTATCTGTATTCGGAGGGTAAATATACTACACAATTGTGTCATCTTCCATAATTCATACTTGTTTCAGCTGTCACCTATTTCTAGAAGACATGCAATCACCTATCACCATAAGCTAGGAATATCCGGCAACTACAATTACAACTAGAAGAAACTGTAGAGAAAAGGGATGTCTCTCATCAATGCGCCATCTAGGCCGTTATATCGTTATATCTGATTCTCATCAATAACCTTTACTGAGTTGCAGATATTAAATTGGACATGAATGATACGTTAAGTAAGAGAGACCGGCTTTTTGTAATAATTTGCTCGTTTACTTGCGATAGAGTGTAAGTATTTTATACGCGTCGCGCGTCACACTACACTTTACGTTTCAGCCACACTTAGCATGCAAGTGCTAGAGAAGGAAACAAAAAATGGTTATGGTAAGATCGCCAATATTTATTATTCAAAATTTCTATGGCAGGCATACATATATGCGATATTGCAACTTCTTCGGATTTACACTCAAATTTTTCTCGTCTCATATGCCCAAAGTGAAACGCTTATAGTTATACATGTATGCTATAGTAACACGAATATATCGTTACGATTATGTACGTATTGATGTGGATACTTTAGGCGTTAGCCAGGTTCGAAAGTTCGCGCACATATACGTGATGACACATGTTCGCTATTGTCCTCCTAACCAACCGCTTATATATCATCTACGAATTCTTTACACACACTTGCGCGCCGTTAAGACTCGGTGTAACTAGACAGAGGGCCACTCACGGAGAGCTGGCATACCTCCGCGAGCTTTTGTAACGTTACATGTGTATAACACTGCTCGCTGCTGGCTGCTGCTGACTGGAACGCCCCTAAGGCGAGCTGCTAGTGACTGGACGCCTAAGGCGAGCTGGTGCTGAATCGATCGCGCCAACGCTACACACACACACGAGACCGATTACATGACCTCCGTTGCGCGGAGGGTAATAAACCATCTCGTGTTGTCTGGCTGGCTTGCGGGTTCGTCTGGCCATCGATTAGACAGCGCGGTGTGTTTAACTCATTCGCGGTATGCCATCGAAGCCATGAACGAGGCGAGAAAGTCGATCATGTAAGCAGCAGTGCTAGGACTTGAACGTCGACATCATCATACTCAACGTTCGGCTGCTTCATAATAAAAGACAAAAAACACCCACTTTTAACGCTTATAAATAAAACAATACTTTGACGTAAATCGCATCTAAAATAAGAAATGGGTTCCTCATCTTGCATACAATATTCATATATTATTGTACAAAGGAAATGTGGGTTTTTAAAAATTACGCTGATATGGAAATACGTGTAAATGTCTTGGGAACCCCCTCAAGAGGGCGGCGACGCTGCAAACATTTATTAAGGCTTACTGATGACTCTTTATTTACAACGCAACAAGCCAGCCAGACAAAAATAAACTAGAAGCCGGCAAACAGCGAAGTACATGTAACAGTGTGAGATATTTATTTGATATAGACGAGAGATTTTAATATACAATCGAAGTATGATAACTGAGATGAGTTGATAACATACGCGATGAAGGGAGGATGCGTGGAGCAGCTGAAAAGCCAGTGCTGCGATGAAGAGGAGCTGTCATCTAGCAATCGCGTGACGTGTCAGCAACCGGACGACATCTTCATGATGATCATCTTCATCGTCCTCATAGACGCCAGCCACGGCCGACAATCTATGCGATAGCGGACGACGTCGCTCTGTCGCCGTGGACCGTTCACGTAGAGATGTGCTGAGGCAGCCTCTCGTCGGCATGAGGAGAGCGACCATATCAAAGGATGCTGTCCAGGTCGGGAAGAACATGTGATCGATGAGCCGTTCAGGAGCGCCGTCTGGAGTAGGGCGACGGCTAGCTAGCTACGGATAGACAGGGCATCGCGTGACTGAGGCTGCAGTCGATCAGTAGGGGTCCGTGTATCCGTGCCGCCAGCATCATGACAGCACTTGCGACTTACGTGCTGCTTGTTGCATTTCGGTCCTGTTCGTAGAGGCGGAGTGCGTGCGTCTGTATGTCTTGTGTTTTTGTGTAGAGGCGAACATGCAGTGACTTGCCGTCGGCGAAGGAGTGTACGTTTATAAGCGTGTGCGTCGACGACACGGATGACGGCGTCGTCGCGCAACGCTACGTGTCACGTTCGGCGTCGCTTACGGCACGGCTTTAATACACGTTGTCGGCGAATCGTACTTTACCATCAACGACGCGACGGCAGCGCCACAACGCTGCCGCCGACCTCTGTCAGCTGGACATTGGACACGCGTGTGTCCACGCGTTATTGTGGACCGTTAACAAACCGGACCGGTCAGCATTGTTATAGCTGGTGCGTTACTACACGGCGCGCGCACTGATGACAACAACAACAACAACATACATGTAACGATGCCGCTAGTGGTTTCTTAACGGTCCACACTAACGCGTGTCATTTTTGTCTGCTGCTTGTGCGTTGTAAATAAAGAGCACTTAGTAAGCCTTATAAATGTTGCAGCGTCGCCGCCTCTTGTGAGGGTTTGCAAGACATTTACACGTATTTCCATATCAGCGTAACTTGTAAAATCCGCATTTTCTTTGTACAATAATAGATGAATATTGTATGAAATGATGGAACCCATTTCACTTATTTAGATCCGCTTAACGACAAATGTATTGTTTTATTTATAAGCGTTAACATTGAGTATTTTTGTCTTATTTATAAGCGCTAAATATTGAGTGTTTTTGTCTTATTTAGAAGCACCGAACGTTGAGTATATGATGTCGACGTCAAGTCCAGCCTGCTGCAACATGATCGACTCTCTGGCATCGTTCATGGCTACCGATGGCTACCGCGACGACAGTTAACATACCGCGTGTCTATCGATGGCAGACGAACCCATGGAAGCCAACCAGACAACACGAGATGGTTTATTACACGAGTATTAACGCGCGCGTGTGTAAAGCATTCGTAGATGATATATAAGCGGTTGTTGAGGAGGACAATAGCGACATGTGTCATCACGTATATGTGCGCGACTTTGAACCTGGCTACCGCCAAAAGTATCCACATCAATACGTACATACATAATCGTATCGATATATTCGTGTTATTATAGCGTACATGTATACTATAAGCATATTACTTATTGGACATATGAGGCAGTAAATATTTGTATGGTGATCAATGCGTGTTGACATAGTTCTATAATGTACTTACTATCATGCTTGTACAGAAAAATGTAACAATAAAGCACACGTTGTAAGCAGCGTGACTTGCCAACCATTTTACTTTGAACATCCTATAGTGTAAATACGAACAAGTAAATTTCGCATAATTATATGTATGTTTGTATAGAAATTTTGAATAATAAAATATTGCTATCTTACTATAAATTTTCGTTTTTCGTTCTGGCATTGCATGTAATTCTGGGTAAACGTGGAATGTGACAATGTGTGACCGCGGCGGTGCAAAATACTTTCAACTCACAGACTCTATACGCAGATAAAGACACAACATTATTACAAAAAGCTGTCTCTCTACTTAGCGTGTTATCCATTCAAGTTTTATATCGACACGCAGTAAAATTAAGATTAACAGATACACTATATGAGGCTCATATGCAATGATGAGAGACATATTACTATCGACAGCTTACATATAAAAATACTCGCGAAGTTGCGTTCTCTACTATAAATACGTATAATTTCAATTTATTTGAGTTTTTTTACTATCATTCTGTTATATTGGATATTTGTCAACAACGTTAAGACGCATACACAACGTTGTGATATTTTACAGAAATACGAAACATAAACGCACAAACGGACGTTCACACGCACGCACACGTCCGCTACCCTCGTCTATCTCTCTCTCCCTCTCTCTCTCTCTTATTTCTTTATTTGCCTGTCGAACTTTATATTTCTCTTCTTCTCTCTTTCTTTCTTATTTCTTTATTTCTCCCCCTCTCTCTATCGGGGGTGTGTTCGCGCGCACGCGTGAGTGGCAAAAACGTGCTTTTCGCAAAGTACATTCTATATTTAATTTCAAACTCCACGCATGAGAGGCATGTGACGGCTCACTGTCAGATAATAGCCCATAGAATGAATGGGATTCGGGGGGGTGGACGTGGCGAAGTCGGTACTTTACCATCAGACGAGCCGACGGCAGCCGCCACACACGTGCCGCGACCTCTGTCGGCTGGACATTGGACACGCGTTAGTGTGGACCGTTAACAAACCGGACCAGTCAGCATTGTTATAGCTGGTGCCTTACTGCACTGGCTTACACGGCGCGCGCTCAGCCCTCGCTGATGACAACAACAACAACAGCAACATACCTGTAACGATGCCGCGTGTCAACGATGCACTGTAGCGCAGTATCACGTTGATGTTGATATATACGTTGCAGTCTTGATTACTTGCAGCTCAGTTTTGTAGTAACAAGGAAATGACCAGTATCTGTATTCGGAGGGTAAATAACTACACAATTGTGTCATATTCCATAATTCTGACTTGGTTTCAGTGTCACATATAATAAATTTTTCTAGAAGACATGCAGTCACTATCACCATAACAAGGAATATTTGCAAACTACAATTACAACTATGAAGGAACTGTAGAGCAAAAGATGTCTCTCATCAATGCGCTTTAGGCCTATATCGTATATCTGATATCATCATAACTTTACTGAGTGCAGATATTAAATTGGAATGAATGATACGGCTTTTTGTAATAAATTTGCTCGTTTACTTGCGTATAGAAGTATTTTATACCGTCGCGGTCACACTACACTTTACGTTCAGCCACACTTACATGCAAGGCTAGAAAGGAAAACAAAATTTATGGTAAGATCGCAATATTTTATTATTCAAAATTTCTATGCAGACATACATATATGCGAAATTGAATTCTTCGTATTTACACTATATGCTGTTTAAAGTACAATGGTTGGCAATACACCCAGCTAAGAACGTATGCATTATTGTAACGGTTTTTTTTTATACACGAATGATAGTAAGTAAATTATCGAAGTATGTCAACACGAATTAATCACCATACAAATATTTACTCCCTCATAATAATGTCCTATAAGTAAAATGCTTATAGTATACATGTATGCTATAGTAACACGAATATATCGTTACGATTATGTACGTATTGATGTGGATACTTTAGGCGGTAGCCAGGTTCAAAGTCGCGCACATATACGTGATGACACATGTCGCTATTGTCCTCCTCAACAACCGCTTATATATCATCTACGAATGCTTTACACACACGCGCGCGTTAATACTCGTGTAATAAACCATCTCGTGTTGTCTGGCTGGCTTCCATGGGTTCGTCTGCCATCGATAGACACGCGGTGTGTTAACTGTCATCGCGGTAGCCATCGGAAGCCATGAACGAGGCCAGAGAGTCGATCATGTAGCAGCAGGCTGGACTTGACGTCGACATCATATACTCAACGTTCAGCGCTTCTAAATAAGACAAAAACACTCAATGTTTGGCGTTTATAAGTTATTAAGTTATAATAAGACATTTTATAAGATATTTCTGTTTTATTGTACAGAGTAAATGAGTGGTTTATCACAAGTTAAGCTGATATGAAAATACAGAGGAATGTCTTGCAAAATCCCTCAAGAGGCGGTGACGCCGCAACATTGCCCGGGCTTACTAAATGCTCTTTATTTACAACGCATAAGCAGTACACAAAAATAAATTAGAAGCGACAACAGAAAAGTACATGGTAACAGTGTGACAAGACAAGACAAGATATTTATTAATACATATAATCGAGTATGATAACTGAGATGAGTTGACCAAAACACTATATATACTACATTAATGAAGCGATGGGTAACATTATAGCATAACATCACCAACGTGACCCCGCTACGAGTGACACAATGAGAGATCTATACATAGATAGAACATAGTAGGTAATCTTCCGCTGTAATACATCGTTGACACGCGGCATCGTTACAGCTAAAACTATCCCCAACGTCAAACTTCTTCATGATTTATGACGAATAAAACTACACCACAATTTAAGTTATTTATCTTCAGAATACGGCACCTGTTCTTTTTCGTTGCCTCAGGAAAACATTACCAACAAAACCGGCGACGTTCCGCTACGGGTTGTCACCCGTAGCGGAACGTCGCCGGTTTTGTTGGTAATGTTTCAATGAGAGATCTATACATAGATAGAACATAATAGGTAACCTCCCGCTACAATGCATCGTTGACACGCCGCATCGTTACAGGTATGTTGTTGTTGATGTTGTTGTTGTTGTCATCAGCGAGGGTTGCGCGCGCACCGTGTAAGCCGGTGCAGTAACGCACGCAAC